CAGCCCAGAGGTACAGGGACCAAGTGTTACAGCCGGTGGTGATCCCCTTCATGCAGGGGCAAAGGCAGGGGTTTCTTTTTCAGCAAGATAACGCCCGACCACACACCGCTAGACTCACTATGGACTTCCTGAACCGTCAGAACATTCAGCTTTTGCCTTGGCCGTCACGCTCTCCGGACTTGTCACCCATTGAACACCTGTGGGACCATCTCGGTAGACAGTTGCGACGACGTGCACAGCCACCAACCACCATACCACAGCTGGAACAGGCTCTGCGAGAAGAGTGGCAGCGGATCCCTAATGACGTCATCCGACGGTTGACCTTTTCCATGAGAAGGCGTGTCCTGGCTTGCATTAACTCAAATGGGGGTCATACGAGGTACTAAGACCACTCGCATGGCCTTCATACCTGGGACTGTCATCATTTCTACAAGTGTGATTTTTGATGAGTGACCGCCTATGGACGTTATTGTCAACTGAACAGTTTTATGTGGCCACAAATCTTTAAATCCATTCTATACATGTTTGAAAATGACTCAACAATGACATTAAACATTACAATCACAATAAAGTTTGCCCCGTCTTCTTTTACTGTCAGAATAGTGGGGTGTGTACTTTCTTTTGTACTTCAGTTTAGTCATCTTCTACCTTTTTACACAGACAATGAGTCGGACACACACACACACACACACACACACACACATACATAATTTTGACAAAACTATACTTAAGATATACATAACATTTTATAATGATAGCTGATTTAATATATGTTATAGATAATCATAGTAATGCATTTCATATTGTTATCAACCTTAACTATGTGGCCACACTAATTATGTCTCTCAATATGTGTAGTTAACACATATCAACTGGAGGCAGTGGGGGTAGCCTAGTGGTTAAAGCGTTCGATCGTCAAGCCGAAGACCCGGGTTCGATTCCACACATGGGTACAATGTGTGAAGCCCATTTCTGGTGTTCCCCGTGATATTACTGGATTATTGTTAAAAGCGACGTGAAACCATTCTCACTCAGCGTTGTCCCCTCTCGGCCACCATACGGTGTTCGATCTCCGGCCCCGTCATACCAAGAGACGTTAAAAGATGGTACTTGTTGTGACCCTGCCTGGCGCTTGACATTAAGGGGCTAAAACAAGGACAGGTCAGTATGCTGTGTCTGAGTGGGGTATTCATGTTAAACTGCGTCATGGTATCTCAATGGGCTTATAAATCGGCATCAGTTCGGACCAGTACAAAGAACCACACAAACACAACCGTTTATGCACGTCGCTATATAAGTGCAATAGTCTTGAGCGACGTAAAATCCCATTTGACCTCACGTGACCTATAGCTAGCACGAGGAGTATCTACGTATAAACTCCCTGCAAAGTCCTACTTGAAATATAAATTTATATTGTTCCTAAAATACCAATTAAAATGTTACGTTTATTGCTCGTATAAAAAAAATCGTAACACAAGAAGATATCGTGGATGTGTTTTAGAACATTACATTTTTTACGCTCTACTTCGATGAATCACGGTATAAGGTGAGGTGAAATGGGGTTTAACGTCGCGTCCAAGATTATTGCAATTATATAGCGACGTGCATGTACGTGTGTGTGTTTGTGTGGCTGCTTGTACTAGTCCGGACTGATGCCGATTTATAGTGCTAGCACACTGAGATACCATGCCGCAGTTTAACATGAATACCCCACTCAGACACAGTATACTGACTCCGAGCCGACCAGTCCTTGTTTTAGCCCCTTAATGCCGAGCGCCAGACAGGGTAACAACAAGTACCATCTTTTAACGTCTTTTGGTATGACGCGGCCGGGGATCGAACCCCGGACCTTCCGCTCTCCGGGCGGACGCTCTACCACAAGACCACGGAGGCGGTCGAATCACGGTATAAGATTTACAAGATGAAAGCTGATCCCGATAATAGACGCTGACAAGGTAGATATTGTGACTGAACTGAAGGGAGCTTTACTTACATCAGACCGCTAATAGCGTCATTAGAGGTACAATGACATAATTTATATTATGTACAAGCTACATTCTGAGATTACAGAAAGTACAATTTCATGCCAATTAGTGTTTCATTAATATTTGATTTGTTGTCATCAGTGATTGTCAGTGATCCATTCACGGCTATTTTGCGTTTTGGGCCCAATTGAATCTGTTTCGGCGGATAATCGAGTCTGCTTATTCTCTAGGCTGACATTGTATATTTAAACAATGACATGAAAATAAAAGTGGAAAAATTCCGAGGCTTGCTGAGGGTTTTTGCCACATTTATCAACGAGTGTTAATATATTTGATCTCAAAAGACACGAGGGTGAGATTTTATTTATCATCCAACATCATTCTTCCAATTTGCAGTTTTTAGCAGAGCCTTCAGTGTAAAAAGTACTGCTATTAGTGATGTCATTTGATTGTGACGTCATGGTAACCAGTGACGTCACAATGGTCTGCAAAGCATTGTTATGTAATTTCATTGGTTCGATCCCCGACAGCGTCATACCAAAAGACGTTAAAAGATGGTACGTGTTGTTACCCAGTCTAGCGCTTGGCATTAAGGGGCTAAAACAAGGACTGGTCGGCTCGGAGTCACTATACTGTGTCTGAGTGGGGTATTCATGTTAAACTGCGGCATGGTATCTCGGTGGGCTAGCACTATAAATCGGCATCAGTCCGGACTAGTACAAGCAGCCACACAAACACGTACATGCACGTCGCTATATAATTGCAATAATCTTGGACGCGACGTTAAACCCCATTTCACCCCACCTCACCTTTGTATTACGCTGTGAAAAATGCAGTTGATTTAAAAGTGTTGTGTTCATAAATGTGTTATTGCTGTGTGACTAATAATATTTCTATCATCGAGGAAACAGAAGCTGTCAACATTATGGGATTTGCGCTTATGTGTGTGTGTGGGATTTAAACACATTGCAATTAGCTCCTCCACCACAATTTAACCACCACTCCCCCCCCCCCCCCCCCCCCCCTATAGGGTTCAATAGTATTGCACTATGTAGCGATGTGTGTGCCACCCTGAGGTTGTACTAGTTCGAACTAATGTTGGGTCATTAGCGCCAGCTCACTGAGATACCATGCCGCAGTTAAAATTGGATACCCTACGCAGGCACAGTAAAATGACTCAGACCTAACAAGTCCTTGTCTTATGCCCTAATTCCGAGAGGCAGGGAAACAACAAGTGCCATCTTAAATCGTCTTTTGATATGACTCACCCGAGGATCGAACCCCCGACCTTCCGTTCTCCGGGCACTGTACACTACGCCGAGAAGGCGATCCCCCTCGTCAATGAATGGTGTAAGGTGTATGACGTATACTACGAGTATGATACATGTAATCCAATTTGAATCAACACTTTGAAACTTAGTAAAAATGGAATTCAGATAATTCGATATATCAGAGTAAAGTTAATACAGGTGATACTGTATTTCCTAATTTGGTCTTCTATCAACACCCTAGTATTGAACTACGAATGAGTCGATATATTTAAGAATTGACGTCAATATGTGTTGCGTTTATAGAGTTATATACTTAAAGCCGGTGTGCACATATAATCAACGTACTGGATTTTCGTAAAGTTTGCCCATCGGTTTGTACATCAAGGTTAATGCCACTGGTTACAACATTTGTTGAAGCTTGGTTTTCTATATAAATGATATGATCACGAGTTACTCGATGTTTCCCTTGTCGTTACACCCTTCAGCAGATACGAATTGCTAGCTATCACACACAGACATGTAACGCCTCATTCAAATGTATATTTCATGTTTATTTCATTCACCATTGTTTCATTTGCTTTTTTTACATTGTTGAAATATATTACGAGCCGCAAGGTCTATTTAGGTGGGAGGTGAAATGTGGTGAGAATGTCATGTGATGGTGATGAGAATGTCATGTGATGGTGATAGGAATGTCATGTGATAGTGATGGGAATGTCATGTGTTAGTGATGGGGATGTCTTGTGATGTAATTGGAATGCCATGTGATAGTGATGGGAATGTCATGTGATAGTGATGGGAATGTCATGTGATGGTGATTGGAATGTCATGTGATAGTGATGGGAATGTCATGTGTTAGTGATGGGAATGTCTTGTGATGTAATGGGAATGTCATGTGATAGTGATGGGGATGTCATGTGATAGTGATGGGAATGTCATGTGATGGTAATGGGAATGTCATGTGATGGTAATGGGAATGTCATGTGATGGTGATTGGAATGTCACGTGATAGTGATTGGAAAGTCATGTGATGGTGATGGGAATGCCATGTGATAGTGATGGGAAATGTAACGTGTTAGTGATGAGAATGTCATGTAATAGTGATGGGAATGTCATGTGATGGTGATGAGAATGTCATGTGATGGTGATGGGAATGACATGTGATGGTGATGGGAATGTCATGTGATGGTGATAGGAATGTCATGTGATGGTGATGGAAATGTCATGTGATAGTGATGGGAATATCATGTGATGGTGATGAGGAAGTTTGTTTGATGGATGGCCTGAGATGGTGGTGAGAAACTCGTTTATGTTTTGAAACTGAGTGTTGTATTCATGTGCGCCCTACAAATCAGTGCATGTTGATATGTTGTTTGCTGACGTGCCCCAAAGACAGACGCTATCAGACGATAATAAAACAACTGTCTTCGTTTACATGGTTGTGTCGTGGCTTGTGGCTCGTGGCTAGTGATATGATATCCATTCACCTTTACCTCCGAGCTCACAATGAAAAGGAAGACACACCCCTATACCGTGTCACTACTTTGTACAACTGACCAACCATATAGTGGCTGAAAAACAATCGGGGTAAAAGCCTCGGCAATAAATGTAGGTCAGATACATCTGTGACTGGATGGACTGTACCTTCTGGTGTTAGGTGACAATAGATGTCGCAATAGTGGGAGGTGTTGGGGTTAACGTCGCTTTGATCAGTGTGTACGTTATATCACGGCGTGTTACTGGAGGTCATCCAATGGTGACGGAGAGTCTGTTTGTCTCAATCATAGATCACAACTAGTGATACTCTGGGACATCATTTCAGAACTGATAGGGATTGTCAATCTGTAAAAGTCCAACTCACAGACCTCGGTTAGGTGAACAGCACGTTCACCATAGATCTAGGTAGGTCATCTTTGTTGTAGGATATGCAAATGACTGTATGTATCGTAGTAGCGTCATCATGGGTATACCTGCAGATCTGTCCCGTGAAGATCTGGGTTGTAATCGTCTTCAGCAACCCGGGCTTGTCGTAAGAGGCGACTAACGGGATCGGGTGGTCAGGCTCGCTGACTTGGTTGATGCATGTCATCGTATACCAATTGCGGAGACCGGTGCTCATGATGTCAATCACTGCATTGTCTTGTCTAGACTCGATTATTTTTACAGACCGCCATCATATAGCTGTAATATTGCTATGTACAGCGTTAAACAACAAATAAACTAAAAAACAAACTTGCAGATCTATGTTACAAAATGATGACATTTTGAAAAACATCAATTCTGACATGACGAACGAACTCCGAAAAGCAATGTTTGATCCGCGACATTATTTCTGGGGCTGGCAGCGGGGCATGGAGCAGGGCTAGCGGGGTATGGAGCATGGGCTTGTGGGGCATGGAGCATGACCTAGCGGGTATGGAACATGGGCAAGCGGGGCATGGAGCAGGGGCTAGCGGGGCATGGAACATGGGCTAGCGGGGCTTGGAACATGGGCTAGCGGGGCATGGAGCATGACCTAGCGGGGCATGGAACTTGGGCTAGCGGGGCATGGAGCAGGGGCTAGCGGGGCATGGAACATGGGCTAGCGGGGCATGGAACATGGGCTAGCGGGGCATGGAGCATGACCTAGCGGGGCATGGAACTTGGGCTAGCGGGGCATGGAGCAGGGGCTAGCGGGGCATGGAACATGGGCTAGCGGGGCATGGCGCAGGGGCTAGCGGGGCATGGAGCCTCAGCATGTGGGCCATGGAGCATGACCTAGCGGGGCATGGAACATGGGCTAGCGGGGCATGGAGCAGGGGCTAGCGGGGCATCGAACATGGGCTAGCGGGGCATTGAGCAGGGCTAGCGGGGTATGGAGCATGGGCTTGTGGGGCATGGAGCATGACCTAGCGGGTATGGAACATGGGCAAGCGGGGCATGGAGCAGGGGCTAGCGGGGCATGGAACATGGGCTAGCGGGGCATGGCGCAGGGGTAGAGCGGCATGGAGCATGGGCTTGTGGGGCATGGAGCAGTGGCTAGCGGGGCATGGAGCAGGGGCTTACCGGGCATTGAGCAGGGGCTTGCCCGGCATGGAGCAGGGGCTAGCGGGGCATGGAATATGGGCTAGCGGGGCATGGAGCAGGGGCTAGCGGGGCATGGAACATGGGCTTGTGGGGCATGGAGCATGGGCTAGCGGGGCATGGAACATGGGCTTGTGGGGCAAGGAGCAGGGGCTAGCGGGGCATGGAGCAGGGGCTAGCGGGGCATGGAGCAGGGGCTAGCGGGGCATGGAACATGGGCTAGCGGGGCATGGCGCAGGGGCTAGCGGGGCATGGAGCCTCGGCATGTGGGCCATGGAGCATGACCTAGCGGGGCATGGAACATGGGCTAGCGGTGCATGGAGCAGGGGCTAGCGGGGCATCGAACATGGGCTAGCGGGGCATTGAGCAGGGCTAGCGGGGTATGGAGCATGGGCTTGTGGGGCATGGAGCATGACCTAGCGGGTATGGAACATGGGCAAGCGGGGCATCGAGCAGGGGCTAGCGGGGTATGGAACATGGGCTAGCGGGGCATGGCGCAGGGGTAGAGCGGCATGGAGCATGGGCTTGTGGGGCATGGAGCAGTGGCTAGCGGGGCATGGAGCAGGGGCTTACCGGGCATTGAGCAGGGGCTTGCCCGGCATGGAGCAGGGGCTAGCGGGGCATGGAACATGGGCTAGCGGGGCATGGAGCAGGGGCTAGCGGGGCATGGAACATGGGCTTGTGGGGCATGGAGCATGGGCTAGCGGGGCATGGAACATGGGCTTGTGGGGCAAGGAGCAGGGGCTAGCGGGGCATGGAGCAGGGGCTAGCGGGGTATGGAGCAGGGGCTTGCCGGGCATGGTGCATGGGCTTGTGGGGCAAGGAGCATGAGCTAGCGGGGTATGGAACATGGGCTAGCGGGGCATGGAACATGGGCTAGCGGTGCATGGAACATGGGCTAGCGGTGCATGGAGCAGGGGCTAGCGGGGCATGGAACATGGGCTAGCGGGGCATGGAGCATGACCTAGCGGGGCATGGAACTTGGGCTAGCGGGGCATGGAGCAGGGGCTAGCGGGGCATGGAGCCTCGGCTTGTGGGCCATGGAGCATGACCTAGCGGGGCATGGAACATGGGCTAGCGGGGCATGGAGCAGGGGCTAGCGGGGCATCGAACATAGGCTAGCGGGGCATGGAGCAGGGGCTAACGGGGTATGGAGCATGGGCTTGTGGGGCATGGAGCATGACCTAGCGAGGCATGGAACATGGGCTAGCGGGGCATGGAGCAGGGGCTAGCGGGGTATGGAGCAGGGGCTTGCCGGGCATGGAGCATGGGCTTGTGGGGCATGGAGCATGAGCTAGCGGGATATGGAACATGGGCTAGCGGGGCATGGAGCATGGGCTAGCGGGGCATGGAGCATGACCTAGCGGGGCATGGAACATGGGCTAGCAGGGCATGGAGCAGGGGCTAGTGGGGCATGGAGCATGGGCTAGCGGGGCATGGAGCATTGGCTAGCGGGGCATGGTCCTGGTACTGATGTAACGTACAATGTTGGCATAAATAATAATCTTAAGAGTTCTCCTATACAAAAATATCTATAGATTTGTGTCACTTCTACATATGCCTTTGCAACGGAGTGCTCGTTAACAGAACCACGACTCGTCCGTTTTACAGCTGTTCTTACTGCATTTCTAATGCTGCTACTAATTGACTGAATATCAGTGCTGAACTGGATGAGTCGTTACCGGCTCCCTGTCCATCGAGTATCGGCAGGTAAACGGTCCATTACTGTACAAGAAAGAACATGGTTTTATCCCAAGATTTTCCTTAAAACAACATCTTAATCATGCTACCATCACACCAAAGTAGTTCTATCCCGTTCTACCCCGTTCTGGACAAAATCCTAGAACGGGCTGTGATCACGGTAGATAGCGTAGTTTCGCTAAAATACGATGCTAGTTCGTTCATTAGCAGTCCTCAATACGTCTATCTCGTTCTTATCTCGTTCTTAGCCAGTCTGCAGTCCGTTTGTATCCAGTTCAGATCGTGTAAAAGTGCCCGTTCACCTCATCCCGACGTTTCCAGGCAGTTCGAGCACGTCCGTAGCCGTTCTCAACCCGTTCTTAACCAGTTCAACCTCGTTCTACCTCGTTCACAATACGTCCAAGCCAGTTCTAACTAGTTCTTAACCAAACCAACTCGTTCGCAGTACGTCCCAAGTGCGTGTGTATTCGCGTCCTGGCCCGTCCTGGCCCGATACCGAGCGCGTTGTAGTCAGTCTTCATTCAAGTTCAGGGCTCCGAGCTGTACACATCATGCCTCCAAAGAGAAGTCGACCCGGTCGGTGTGCACACGTACTGAAATTTATGTCCGACTGCACCGCGTCGTAACACGTCCGTAGTAGGTTCGAAGTACGGCAACTCCGTTCGAAGTACGGCAATTACGTTCGTAATACGTCTTTCTCGTTTTGAGTACGTTGTCAATCCGAATAATTGCAGAACGGGATGGACGGGATAAAATTTTGAGCAGACTCAAACTTCTGGAGCACCCTCCCCGTCCGAGCCCGTTCATGAAGTTCGTAAAAAGACTGTCAATAGTTGCTACTACGTCCACCACGTCCATACACAGTTGGAGCCCGTTCGACAACATGTTCACTAGTTTGGTGTGATGGGGGTTTAAAGCATCATGTATATTCCAGAGGGGAAGGCTTTAATGTCGCCTGAATATTAGAAATATTTTAACCAACCAACCATAAAATGGAGGTCGGATTCTATTCAGGGAGTCATCATTATTTAAATACGGGTAAATATTCTTTAAAGCTTATTTTTTTAGAAACAGCCTTAAGGAGGCTGTGCATAATATTGATATCCCATATTAGAAATATTCGACTCGTGGTCATTGTTTATTGAACAATAAATCACAACAGGGACAATAAACCACTAGGGTCTGCACCCTCTTGGTTTATTCTCCCTGCAGTGGTTTATTGTACGATATACTCCCACTCGTCGTTTATTGTTTAAATAAGGAAAAGTACTGCCAACCCGAGCAGTTGACAGATTAATAATTCATTAGTTAATTAAACTTACCCCCACAATATTTTAATAAACACTTGGATCAGGTGATTTATTCTTTGAGTTAGTTTCACTTTAAGAAGTATAATGTTGGGGAATAGCACATAATCACTTTATTCAGAACATAATTACAACATATGTCTAAGGAATTGTAAGTAAGAACTGCAAGTACATTTGACCCCGCGACGCGCATATCATGCAGATCCATTACATAATCATAGTTTTAAGTAAATGTTTTTCTTTCAAGACAAACCATCACCATGGCCTATAAACAAGCGTTCACGAAAAGGGTATATGACAAGTTACGTGAACAACTTTGGAAGGCGTTAAGACAGAATAAAGACTGTGACGTCATAATCAAGGTAGACGCCGATGTGTTTCATTGCCACAAGGTCATCCTGGCAATGACGTCACCTTATTTTGATGCCAAGTTTGCCTCGGGTTTCAAGGGCACCGACGAGAAGGTCATGGAAATACAGTGCATGAGCCCGGAAACCTTCAGGAATGTGTTGGAGCACATATACCGTAATAACGCAGCCTTGAAAGCATCCAATGTGCTTGATGTGTTGCAAGCAAGTTCCATGTTTCAAATAGAATCCCTTACTAAGCGCTGTGAAAAGTTTCTTATAGATATGTATAGGATGAGTCAATCGTGGGTGAAACAGTGGCGCGCTGCACGGAAGTATAACCTAGAGATATTGCTCGAAATGACAAATAGTTTCATGTTTACAAACTTCAAGACAATATCAGAAACGGCTCTGTTTACAAGTCTGACCGCGGTCGAGCTGTGTGAGATTGTTGCCAGTGATGAGCTGAGAGTGACTCATGAGGCAGATGTTTTGAAGGCTGTTCTCCTGTGGACAAAATCTCAAGAACGTTTCTCAGATACAGATCTAACCCAATTGCTCTCTCACGTATCAATTAACCAGATTTCTGATGCTACATTCAAATCCACAATATTCCCTTTACTCCAAACTCTCAGAGAGAAGGCACGCGATATTGTGGAAGATGTAAAGAAAGAACAGCATGTGTTGAGAAAACTGGTTGTGAGACACAACGACAAGCCTCGGAATATCCTATTTGGATATTTGGAAATCCATGGCAAAAAAGCACTAAAGATGTACTCTTTGGAGGATCACAAGACGTACGATGTCCCAGCACTTCCAGGTATACACAATGTCACTGGAATACCAAGAGCCTTCGCGTTCAAAGGTGATCTGATGTTCACCAGCCTTAGCAGTGTCTATAGGCTCAATGAACAGACATGGTCGTGGGATAATATGAGCCTACCGCCAATTCATGTCATCCAGATACTGAGTGTGCAGCATAAGCTGTATGTGTTTGGTGTATCCGATGATGGTGTGCAGCTACTAAGGTATAAAGGAGATGAGGAGGTTGCGTGGGAGCTGGTTGGTGCCATTGAAGGAGAAATGGCAAACTGTTCGGCAGCTGCTGTGGGGGACACGATCTATTTAGTTGGAGAAGATCTCACCGCTCACTCCCCATCACAGGTTAGGGAAAAGGTTTTCATCCTTAATGCATTTGGAGCTGATGCAGTTTCATGTCTGGGAAGATTTCAGCCTCCACTATCCCAGGGAAAGTTTTCTGTATCCATAGCTTCCAAGGACGACAAGATGTATTATTTGACGACAGAATCAGAATTCGGAGTGATTAATGATGCCAATTCCCCAAAGGGTATTACACGATTTCATCAGCTTGACGGTGCCAGTGGCTGCTCTCTTAGTGGGAAGGGAAACGAGTTAATGATTCTGAAGACAGTTGAATCTAAAACCCACATTTACACCGTGGATTTGGAGGAGATGGCTCTCCATCTATTTGAAGACGTTCCTGCACTATATGATGGTCGTCTTGGTGTCATCAAAACCTCAATCATCGACAAATCCTCTGAAGTTGAGAAAAGGGTACAAAGGTCAAAGGAGACATCTAGACACCCCTATTCAGGTAGGGTCAAACATTCTTTATTTCACTCAGATCACTGTCCTATGTCATGTGTATAACATTAAGGTAACCTAAGTTCCTTCAATATGTACAGCTGTTCTAGATATAGAACGATGGTACGACTGCCATATTAGAAATGGGGGGCATGGGTTTGCCCAGTCGTCTACGGCGCCGCGATTCGCTGTGCAGAGTTGCGTCCCTTGGGCACGCCAGAAATCTATGATTGTGGGTTCGAATCCCGGTTCGCCCCTATTATGTTTCTAGGTTTGTCAGCACCATACCCGTGCTCGTGGGTTTCACCGAAGTGGTAAACGCCTAAGACTTCCATCACTTCGGGCTTTCCTCCCACATTAAGCTGACACTCCGCGATATAACTGGAATACTGTTAAAAGCAGTATTAAACCCAACTCACTCACTCACTATTCGAAATGTCATCAGGTCATCAAAGATTTCCTACTTTTGTGCCTTATGAATTGTACTTTAATAACGGCACAGTGGGTGTGGGTTTTTTTAATTTTAGCCCTGTGTCCAATACCCGGTTATTATAGAAACAGCAAGTTTGAATATACAGTGTTCTTTATTTTCAGATTTGGAATTGGACAAACGTTCACACTCTGATCTCACTGTGATCGTTGGCGATGCATCATTCCCGTGTCACAAGATCATTGTCAAGTTTATGTCACCATATATGGAGAAACATTTGTCAGCTGGGGATGGTGAAATGACGTTGGAGAATGTAGATGACAATGCCTTCAGAGATATCCTCAACTTTATGTACACTGGTGTTCTACCGCCGCTGTGTGAAGACAACATCGCTGCCGCCCTACAAGCAGCAACCGTGCTGCAAATGGACGATCTTCAGACAGATATTGAAATGAAAATCAAGGTCATCAGCAAGGACAAGTCGCCGAATATCAAAACTTTCAAGGACTATCTGTAGTTAGGTTTGCCACAAGAGGCCGTGCTTATGAACGTCCCCAGAACAACTAGTTATGAAGCCTATTTACACTTAAGGTTACTCTCAGAGTGACCCAATGCTGTATCCCCCTGGTCTAACGTTTGAAAGTAGTTCTGAACAAAAGAACTCATATAATCAAGATATTATTCAAATCTGTTTCTTGTAGTGGAGGACCATTTGATATTTAGCTGGGGTCGGGTTTTTTGGGTAGAATCATGTTTTTTTCGTCATTGAGATATTTCTTTTCTTCTTAAAATTGAGCTGAGATTTGTTTTTTACAACACATTTCAAATTCAACCTGGGGAAAGAATATTAAACTTTATTTCTCACTCTTCACTAAAACATAATAACTGTATAGATGAAGGTGATTTTAAAACAGAACAATGGAATAGCAGTATAACAAAGCATTTTCATGTAATAAAAGACCATTTTTACAACAAATTGACAGAAAATTGGTCAACTTGACATGTTTGTACTCACAACAACTGGAGGAATGTACTATTCAATCGTGGATGATTGAAATAAATAGCATCTCGATGTAAACTGACAAACGAAAGATACGATACCAGAATCAATTAGCCTGCAACAATACCCAGATCAGTGGAACTTGAGTTTGAAGTGAAACATTTGATGACTTGCAGAATGCCAACCTACAAAGTTATGGGTAAAAAAGAAATGATGTACTGTTCGTTTACATCTAAACCGTTGGACAGAGACAAATAACATGCTAAGATCAATTGTACAATTAAAAGAGCAAGCCATTGGTATGATACATCAAAAAGCAAAGCATGACAACGTTTCAAGGGCGTCCATGTTGTGCCCTCGGTTGGTACTTTACGGTCCAGGGTGAACGACGGAAGACAAAACTCAGGGGTGAAGTTTAAGGAGACAGTATCCATGTTTATTGTTGATTGGGAATAACGTCCGAAAAGGTACATATTGATAGTAATCACATGACTGAACACACACCGGGACCAGGTGGCCGGTGTTCCCGGTTCACAGACCCGCTATGCCCCTTACACAGGTAGGAAGTCAGACAGCGATTCTTCATGGTCGATGGAGTCATTGCTGAGGCGGTGGCCTTGCCTGACACCACGACTAACTGTACAATCCGTCCGCTTCTGTCGGTCTCAAAAATGCACATTTCAGGAAACCATTTCGGAGGCACTAAAAGAAAAGGATTGGCGTTACATTCTAATATGTGTAGATGACATCATAACATTTTGTGTAAAGAAAACATTTCACCCTCGATATCCAGCCTAGGCTTATTTTGAAAGCTTGACCACTGTTACTGCCAGGTGAATATTATAAGCACTGACTTTTACTGTAACCATTAACCTTTTACTGATATTTTAAACTGCCATTATATTATGTACTGCCATTGTAAATGATGAATAGTAATTGTTTTGATTTGTAAACCTAGTTAATATTATAATACAATTGTTAATTGTATACCATTTGTTGGGTGTTTGTTGGCTTCATAATATGGATACTGAGGTATATCATACTACTACATTTACATGGTATGTGTAATGACATAATAAGAGGGGGTGAATAAAAAACAATATCCCTATCAAAAGTTGAGTAGTATATAAGTAGTTTCACTAGTTCCAAGAAAGAAACGTTATACATTTCACCTTGCTTCAGAGATTCACCTCATTTACATGGCCTGTAGTGTTGGGTATGTGCATATGTTGACACACCTCACACACCCAAACACGTGACTGGTGACATTGTGTAATTCTTGATATATGGATTTAGTAAAAGGACTTTCGTGTCACTGAACTTTCGGGACCATCACTTGATTGTCTGGTATGTTTGTAGGACGCCGTCGCATGGCAGGAGTACTCCTGTGCGGCGTTAAGCAAGACACTTACAATTTAATGCATAGTGTACGCTGGGCGGGTGCCACCGGTAGGCTGGGACATGATTACCCTTTTCGCGAAAACCTGGTGTCATCACTGTTTTCAGTGATCCATTCATGTAACTTTCACCGCTTTTTTTCTTTTTCGCCCAATGGAATCGGCTTCAGCGGATAATCAAGACTGGTTATACATTGTCGTTGACGTTATATATTCATCATATTACGGATGGTCATGCCATGCAATATATAATAGAGACAGACCCGTGAAGATTCGAGGTAGAAAATGTCTTCAGCAACCCATGCTTGCCGTAAAAGGCGACTATGCTTGTCGTAAGAGGCGACAAACGGAACGGGTGGTCAGGTTCGCTGACTTGGTTGATGCATTTCTTCATATCCCGATTGAGTTGATCGACGCTCTTGATGTCAATCACTTGATTGTATGGTCCAGGCTCGATTATTTACAGACCGCCTCCATATAGATGGAACATTGCCGGGTGCTGCGTTAAACAACAAACAAACAAACAAACAACCATGAGACAGGTGTGAGCAGAGGTTTTTTCCATGAATAATTATGTTGACTTGATAGTTTCGCGTCTCTCAATGCCTTCTGATAGAGACACCTTATAAACTTCACCTTTACGTGTACCTCAGAGTTCGCTGTGGAGAAGATGACACGATCCCTAAACCCAATGACAACCACGTACAGTTGGCCCGTAACGCAACGTCACATTAGATCGAAGTATGTTGGGCAAGTCATGGCAAGAAATGTAGGTCAGTTTCATCTGAGCCTGGTGACACTCTGTCTGATGATATAAGGTGACACAGATAGGGAATAGAGGTTTAACCTCGTTATGAACAGTATTTCTCTGAGCAGGGTATCAACTCGGTGAGGACGGCCCGAAGAGGTGCAGGTGTAGAAGTTGAGATATATGACAGCTTGACCTCAGCATGGGTAGGTAACTTTCCTGTAGGACATACGCTTCACTGTAAGTGTTGTACAGGTAATACGGATTGATAGACTAGAGTTAGGAGGAGCATAACTGCTCTCACATCAGTGTTACACGCATTTGTTCCACGACGAAGTGTGCTTCAATGTTTTCTGTAATATAGACTTAACATAGCTGTAGAGCTGACACCCACTTGAGGTACACTGGTCTTATGCTAATATAGTAACATTATAGGTTATGAGGGTGAGCATGAATTTGCCAGAGGACAAAACTAAACCAAATATGTTTGTATTTGTTTCACACCTATTCATCTCTTCAATGTCATTCAATCAAAATAAACACAATATGCACGCAAGTTCCATGTTCCTTTTAGAACAACCATCACAACTCCACCTAGTCACTGACATGAATAGTCAGTCAAGGTTTACTAATATACAGGTCCTGGATATTTCATGTACTCCCACGCTGACCCACGAACAATTTTTTCAGCCTTTATTTAGTTTTATTCAGGTAATTTCGTGAAACTTTATTTTCGCATTTTATTACACCTTTTCACCCCATTACATAAATTATCACTTTTGATATGCTGGAGATATATTTGATTTGCTGGAGAGGGCCTGGGATATTTTGATACGCTGGAGAGGACCTGGGATATACTGATTTTCTGGTGAGGACCACGGATATATTTGAAAAAAATGGTTCCAGAATATCTTTGCATGAGGATAAAATGAGTATATTTGTTCGATAAAACAAATATGTTGTAAAAACAATTATTTTATTTCTTTCAGAAATGGAAATTTCACACAAATCCCTATTCATGGCGGGTTTAAAGAAGTCCCTGGATGGAGGGTCATACTCGGATCTGACAGTGGTCGTTGGTGATGTATCATTCCCGTGTCACAAGGTCATTGTCAAGTCCATGTCGCCTTATATGGAGCAGCGATTGTCAGCTATGGATGGTGAAATGACGTTGGAGGATGTAGATGTCAATGCCTTCAGGAATATCCTAAATTTCATGTACACAGGTGTTCTACCGCCGCTACATGAAGACAACATCGTCTTCCTCATAAACACAGCAACAGTACTTCAAATGGATGACTTCAAGCTGGCTATTGAAGAGGAGTTCAGGCATTGTGACCTCATAGGGGCGCATATTTATTTGACTTTGCATGATCTAGCTATCAAAAATAAAGTCTCGACCATCAAGATGGATGTATATCACTTTATCCTTCGTCATTTTGAGTATATATGGAAGAAAGGGGAACTGAATGGCATGAGTTTCCGTCAGCTGTATGATGTCGTCCTTCACAAAGAACTTATAGTGTCAAGTGAGTTTGTGCTGCTGAAAGCCATCGTTGACTGGGTTCTAGCTCAGAGTCAAGTGTCATGGGATGAGACCAAACTGCTTATCTATGCAGCAAGGATGCCATTGATTACAGAGCAGAACATACAGAAACTGAGGTGCACGGACCAGGTGGCAGCCAATCAGCGTCTCAGTTCTCTACTGCTGGAGATATGGGAGCGGGACCATACGGAGATTCCTTACAAGAGGGACAGAGACCCGTCTCCCGAAGCTCCAATCAAAACTTATATGGACTATCTGTAGTGACTGAGTGAGGCTTTACACTGATCTAAGCAGTATTACGGCGGATATAGGCAACCAGTAATGAGGCACAATTGTAGCTAGTGAAAGGGGATATTGTGTATAGCAGAGACACCGGTCGGTGAAACATAACTCTTACTCTGCATATTTGAAGAACTGTCTTTGTTTGTATCCTATATTCTGTGCCTTAAACCATTGTTCAGAAGTGCATTGTGTAGCAAAATATCCTATAGTTACGTAAAATTATCAACTTTTATACGGTTAAGCCTATTTGTGCTTCACCCATGCAAAGAATCAAACCCGTGTCTTCGTAGTGATCGGATGCTTAAATCTTTTGGCTTACCACCGCACTATTCACTGGCTTCGACCGGTTGCAGGGGACCAATTCTAACCTGGAGTGATTGAGAGGTGTCCAACAAGAGTTTATCGGTAATAAATATCTTATAAATAAGTATGATTATTACTAAGTCACTCACTAACTCGCTCACTCACTCATCAATAATGGTATATTATCGCAAACTACAACGGTGTGCATTTTCTGTTACAAATCATTTTTTTCAATATATTCAATAGATACAATAAATTATTACATTTACAAATTATATCTGTACTTTCACTGGTTAATAAATGGTCACATTACATATACTTTCCTTAAAACTTAGCATTGCCCTGAGATCCTACTTGCCGTGCAGCGATCAGAAGTGGTATTGTCCTGCGCGGTTTAGCCAATGGAATCAGCGAGAATGTAACAGTGTAAGAATCTACATCGAAACGTCGCTAAATGCAATAAACCAGAAGGTTTAGGTTTTCTTATTTCCTCACTAACTTCAAGAATGCCAATCAAACAGTTCGTAACGCAAAGCTTGTTGTGAAGCAGTATCTCCTGCCACTGCCTCTGTCATCTGGAGTCACGATATGCCTGAAATATTGCCGATGTGACTTAAAATTTTAACTCACTCACTCACACTGTCATCTTGAGTGATTGAATTATGGTTGAATTTTGATGGTTATAAATAAATCAAATGTTTCCTGTTTACATTACGTAATAAAACAACTATTGACCACAATTCGGGGAATATCATGTTTTATGGACCCAGGAAACCGATACTGAAAGGTCAATGATTGATAAGCATCAGATGATTTACATGTGTCAGGTATGTTTGTTTTATTTTGTTTGTTGTTTAACGCCGCACTCAGCAATTATTCAGCTATATGTCGGCGGTGTGTATATAATGGAGTCTGAACCAGACAATCCAGTGATTGACATCATGAGCATCGATCCATGCAATTGGGATACGATGACATGCATCAACCAAGTCAGAGAGTCTGACCACCCGATTCCGTTAGTCGCCTCTTACAACAAGCATAGTCGCCTTTTACGGCAAGACTAGGTCGCTGAAGACCTATTCTACCCCGGATCTTCACGGGTCGTTAGGTTTTTTAATTATGTTGATAATGAAAACACAAAAACACTGAATTGACATATAGTACTCAAAGAAAGTAAAAGAATATCCGATTCTTTCATATAACTATAGTTAATCTATGTGTCAGTGGTTTAGATTTGGATAGTTACACCACGGTGTGGGATTCATTGGGGAATAAGCCCAAAGTAGCGCTTATCGTAGACGTTTACGGCTTTGGTGGAATGATCACAATATGATGTTCACAAACCAAAGATACTATCAAGGGCGGATGTGGGATTCGAACCGACGATCAGAACACATCCTTGCAATTAAAGGACGCGACTCTACACGTTGAATTATGCCTGTTCCAATGACCACCGTGCCCCCTCGAAGAGGAGATCAGAGAAGACAGGGACTAACAACGAGAATTAGTGAGCGTTTATCTGCGAAGTTTCACATGAGCAAACAACAAACAACATCATACCAATGTTCTAATCAGGAATTGCCATGCCGATGGGGTAAAGTGAATTACGTAGAATATATAAGTAGTTAGCTAATATAATGTATGCCAACGTATATTGCATGTAGGGTCATGAACATTAGTGCATATGGGATGACGTGCATTGCTGTATGTAGGGTGACCTACATTGCTGTATGTAGGGTGACCTACATTGCTGTATGTAGGGTGACCTACATTGCTGTATGTAGGGTGACCTACATTGCTGTATGTAGGGTGACCTACATTGCTGTATGTAGGATGACGTACATTGAAGTATGTAGAGTGACGTACATTGATGCATGTAGGGTGACGTACATTGAAGCATGTAGGGTGACGTACATTGCTGTATGTAGGGTCACGTACATTGCTGTATGTAGAGTGACGTACATTGATGCATGTAGGGTGACGTACATTGAAGTATGTAGAGTGACGTACATTGCTGTATGTATGGTGACGTACATTGAAGTAAGTAGAGTGACGTACATTGCTGTATGTAGGGTGACGTACATTGAAGTATGTAGAGTGACGTACATTGCTGTATGTAGGGTGACGTACATTGAAGTATGTAGAGTGACGTACATTGATGCATGTAGGGTGACGTACATTGAAGCATGTAGGGTGACGTACATTGAAGTAAGTAGAGTGACGTACATTGCTGTATGTAGGGCGACGTACATTGATGCATGTAGGGTGACGTACATTGGTGCATGTAGAGTGACGTACATTGAAGTATGTAGGGTGACGTACATTGAAGTGTGTAGGGTGACGTAATTGATGCATGTAGGGTGACGTACATTGAAGTATGTAGAGTGACGTACATTGATGCATGTAGGGTGACGTACATTGAAGCATGTAGGGCGACGTACATTGATGCATGTAGGGTGACGTACATTGATGCATGTAGAGTGACGTACATTGAAGTATGTAGGGTGACGTACATTGAAGTGTGTAGGGTGACGTACATTGAAGCATGTAGGGTGACGCTAAGGTACCAGCAACAACGGACAATCGTGAATTTGTTAAATAAGAAAACGTATCGTTTCAATAACATCAATAAACTACTTTCTGATTTATTAGTGACAACGTAATATTCAAAATCCTTAAATACATCACTGACAACCATGAATAGACAACCTAGAAAAAATCTGTGTAAACATGCAAAGGACATTGTAAACGAATGTGCACAGGATATACAAATATACACATAATATATTGCCTAACGACATCTGATTATAATTGCTCTTCCGTCCCTTCACTCTGCACTGCTTCCGTCAACAGTCAACCCCCATATAACGCGGGCATAGGGTCCTCCAAAATAGTCGAAGATTGTTGTTTCTATATGTCTTTTCAGGCGATCAAACGACGTGCCTTCCCATGTGTTTGTGACGGGTTCCCCCATTCGGGCACAATACGCTCACATTGGATAGACTCGTCTTTCACCTAACACCTGGTATCATCACTATTTTAGAGTGATTCATAAAAACTTGGTTATGATATCGTAGGAATCGCACAATAGATTCTGCTTACAGCAGAGATTTCATATGTTGTTGAGAGGGTTTGGTCACTTTTATATATAGGAACAATAACTATTCCTTGGGAATAGAACTGGGTTCGATTTTAGATCGATTTATAGATCGATTTTATAGTAATAGGATATATAACACCTTCCTATCACACATGGAACACAAATACAGACATTCTCAAACAATATTTGCAGTTAAAAGGACGAACATAAGAAATAACAATTTTTTTTGTTTTTTGAGGCCTGTACATTATGGAATCAGGACGAGAAAAATCATTGATTGATATAATGTACAAAGTCCGACACCGTGGGGTAAGCTTACACGCAATAAATTAAGTTATCGAGCGTGACCAACGATACATTGGTCGCCTCGTACGAATGGGGGTCCACCGTAGCCCCCATGTACCAAATAAATGTCATCATATAGAATCGTACGTACATCGGGTATGTGAATTATTTATAAAATGTCACTCATTCTTCATCACCTAGTTCAGGTATCTCTGGTCGAAGTCATTCAGTATAGTCTTAACAGGGTTTTTTCATGTAACCTGGCTCATGTGTGGATTACAAGGAACATACAGCACTTCCGAATACGTGGTGTGGCTATGATGTCTATGCTTCTCTCGACACCTGAAGGTCATTCAGAGACGACGGAGTCCGCTAAAACGTCGTCTCTTTGTTTTCCGTCACGCCCTTGCTGGCAAGCTCGTCCTTCACCCGCTCCAGATAGCCTGGGTCGGGATAGCCGAATCTACGGACAGAATGTCAGTGTTACTAAAACATGTCACTGACGTTACGCATAAACAACTCGCCAAGACTAAATCAGAGCAATGAAATGCCAGTTTTAATTAGTAAGATTCATGTAGGATGTGTTACTGTTTATGCTTATCCTATCTCTCGCGAGTATCTCGTAATATGTACTTGAGAATATGACAGCTTGCTGAATACTTGTATTCGTGCTACTGATCTGAACAGAAGTATTTCAATTGCTTCGAAACAAATAGTTCAAATAATATTATAATTTTGACGCATAAACAAACACCATCTGTTTACCTCGTAGGTCCACCTTCCATGTTCGTCTTATGGTGGATGTCGTTCCACGTTACGACATTCTCTTGACCGGTAGTTGTAGAACGACCGATGGTAAAGGTTAACTTCCTGTCAAACGCCTTCTTCAGGAGGCGGAGAACATCTCTACCTTCTCGGCAGTCTGGCAGGAAAGCTCGTCTCGTTGTTCCCTTGTAGGGCTGTCCTGGGTTCGGGTGGTCTTCCTGCGAGACCATGTGGTATAGTTTAAGTTTTAATAACATCACACCCAAACATCAGGTTGCACATATATACATGTATATGTAACGTCTACGCCAGATAATTACATGTCTCTGTTATCTGCCGAAACAGACACAACTGGGCGGAAAAGACACAAAAAAAATTTACGAATGGATCACTGAAATTCAGTGATGACACGAGGTGTTTGCGAAAAGGGTTAGAAATGAAGAAATATATAAAAATTATCCAATTTCTTCCTGCCTTTTGTAATTTGTTATTTGACTGTAAACACTGCATCACTAATAAAATATTTCACATTACTTCAACGTGTACCAATTTAAACTTGACGTTTGAGTCTAACACGTATATATAAATGTGTATAGACGACATGCATTTTAGTAACTGCAATGACACTTACCCTCTGTAGGCCACTAGGCAGATGGTATGTGATACTGATGGTGCCACAGGTCTCATACCCAGGCAGGTGCTCCCCGCTGAAGGCGACATCCATCGACCCCTCCGGCTGGTTCCCCGTCAGGACGCCATACACCATGTTGCAGCTGGGACACACGGGTTTGAACTTCTTGAAGCTGTCATCTATGCACTCCCGACAGAACACATGGCCGCATTTCTTCAGCCATTTTGGGTCTGTGATTGGACCAATACAAATAGGACAGCTTCTGGTTACACTCATATCAAGGAGCTTGACATCATTGCTACTCTCCTTTCTTGCTACCTTCGCATTGCTATTTCCAGGCGGGACTGTACTATCCCCACAGGGAACTCCATTTATTTCAGTCTTTATTCCGACTTCTGGTCTGGTGGAATTATCCATGCCACGTACCCTGTCTGTACTTGAAGTATGCCTTACATTCCTTGGCTCTCCGCCGACAGCATCAAGGTTGACGGTCAATGGATAGGGTGAGCGACTAGTGCCATGGTGGACACTGCCATTGTGATCAAATCCAGATGCGCTTTCATCCAAACATGTCTGACCGACGACAAGAGTTGCCTTGGTGGTCTTGGTTTGTTGCCTCAGTTGTCGACTACCATCATCGCCATGTTTATCAGTGTGGTATCCCTTATAACTCAAATGATGGCTGTCATGTGTGGTGTCCCGGTGGGGTGCGGTATAGGTGTTCCCATGTAACACTGCGCGAGAAGATACAGGTTCTGACCTGGAATGCTTTGGAAAGGTTTGTGACTGGATGTGACTTGAATGTACGTCAGCAACGTTCAGCGACCTGTTTCCAGATTCACCCCTTGTATCGCCATTGTGATGTCGATCCGGCAAAGAAAACATGGTCTCATTGTTTGCTTTGTTGTACCCAGAGTAGTCTCCCCTGTCCTGTCCATGCCCATCAACTCCTTCGTGATGTGCATTATTTCTGTGTGTCGTGTCACCCGGGTTTGTCTGCATGGTCTTTACTGGTTTTCCATAATCATCACCCTGTCCATCTACATGCCTGTGCCCTGCTTCTCGTGTGTCACATCTGTTTTCACGGTCATTCACAGTACGTGAATTTGGAACCGTTTCAGATCGCCTATCTCTGTGGCGTTTCTCACTTGTGTTCACCGCTCCTGTATGTATATCGGTTTCAGCCCTCTCATAATCTTCATACCCATGGGTAATTGGTCCGTACCCCTCATCCGGGTATCTGCGGTTCTGGTCTCTGTTGCGATGAGAACCTGAACGGTTGTCCATTGGTGCCTTTCTATAGCTACCATCATACTCATTTTCTGGTCTATATCTGTTGTGATTCTCATTTCCCTCGATCGATCCTGTATATTGATTTCGGTGAAAATTGGTTTCATCTCTCCTTTCATCTCCAATTTGTGTGTACTTCTCGACCGGACGGCTGTGATTCTGGTCTTTGTTACGGTTAGAACGTGGACGGTTGTCCATTGGTGCCTTCCCATAGCTAGCCCTATCCTCATCCTGTGTTCTTGAACCTCCACAAAAAAACCTCCTAATGGAGTTTCGACGTTTAAAGTTTTTCTCACGGCAGAGAGGACTTCCTTGGTATTCACACTGGGTATACAATGTGTCGCCGATGGATTTGTCGATTGTAACCAAAAACACCTTCTGCAGGCGCTGGTTGTCAAACTTAGCCACGGCTTTCACAGCGGCCTGGGCAGCGTCTGCTGGAGATGCACCACCTCGACCTGACAAGCAAAGACATACACACGTTGAAAGGCAGACTTCAAACTGCATACAAGTATTTAGTTTTGTGATTGTTCACGAGAGTTCATATAGATAATACTGCCATAAAGGAAGGGTGAAAGTCAAGCTTTTCAAGAAGTTCAATTTGGTGAAACACATGTACGGTGATGCACGGGTGTGACTCCGAGAGACAAAGGTTCATAATCAGGTAGACTCTGCTATTCGAACCCACGTTCAGCGGATCCTGTCACAGCTAAGGATCGCTACTCTGAATTGCGAAGACTCAGAACATATCTAATACAGGATATACAGGACCAGTCTTTAAATAATGACACTACCGTTGGACATAATGATAGGTGAGTTATGACACTGCTGCTGTATAATCTTTTGGGGGGGGGGGGGGGGGGGGGGGGGGACATCATGTCGATCCTTGAGTGATCACACTAGAAGTGTACAAAGGTTGTGTGAGTTATCATGTCGATCTTTGAGTAATGACACTAGTAGTGTACAAAGGTTGTGTGAGTTATCATGTCGATCTTTGAGCAATGACACTAGTAGTGTACAAAGGTTGTATGAGTTATCATGTCGATCTTTGAGCAATGACACTAGTAGTGTACATGTGTGTTGTTTGGGACATCATGTCGATCTTTGAGTAATGACACTAGTAGTGTACATGTGTGTTGTTTGGGACATCATGTCGATCTTTGAGTAATAACACTAGTAGTGTACATGTGTGTTGTTTGGGACATCATGTCGATCTTTGAGTAATGACACTAGTAGTGTACAAAGGTTGTGTGAGTTATCATGTCGATCTTTGAGTAATGACACTAGTAGTGTACATGTGTGTTGTTTGGGACATCATGTCGATCTTTGAGTAATGACACTAGTACTGTACATGTGTGTTGTTTGGGACATCATGTCGATATTTGAGCAATGACACTAGTAGTGTACATGTGTGTTGTTTGGGACATCATGTCGATCTTTGAGTAATGACACTAGTAGTGTACGTGTGTGTTGTTTGGGATATCATGTCGATCTTTGAGTAATGACACTAGTAGTGTACAAAGGTTGTTTGGGACATCATGTCGATCTTTGAGTAATGACACTAGTAGTGTACATATGTGTTGTTTGGGACATCATGTCGATCTTTGAGTAATGACACTAGTAGTGTACATGTGTGTTGTTTGGGACATCATGTCGATCTTTGAGTAATGACACTAGTAGTGTACATGTGTGTTGTTTGGGACATCATGTCGATCTTTGAGTAATGACACTAGTAGTGTACAAAGGTTGTGTGAGTTATCATGTCGATCTTTGAGTAATGACTCTAGTAGTGTACATGTGTGTTGTTTGGGACATCATGTCGATCTTTGAGTAATGACACTAGTACTGTACATGTGTGTCGTTTGGGACATCATGTCGATATTTGAGCAATGACACTAGTAGTGTACATGTGTGTTGTTTGGGACATCATGTCGATCTTTGAGTAATGACACTAGTAGTGTACATGTGTGTTGTTTGGGATATCATGTCGATCTTTGAGTAATGACACTAGTAGTGTACATGTTTGTTGTTTGGGACATCATGTCGATCTTTGAGTAATGACACTACTGCAGTAGTAGTGTACATGTGTGTTGTTTGGGACATCATGTCGATCTTTGAGTAATGACACTAGTACTGTACATGTGTGTTGTTTGGGACAGCATGTCGATATTTGAGTAATGACACTAGTAGTGTACATGTGTGTTGTTTGGGACATCATGTCGATCTTTGAGTAATGACACTAGTAGTGTACATGTGAGTTGTTTAGGATATCATGTCGATCTTTGAGTAATGGCACTAGTAGTGTACATGTGTGTTGTTTGGGACATCATGTCGATCTTTGAGTAATGCACTAGTAGTGTACATGTGTGTTGTTTGGGACATCATGTCGATCTTTGAGTAATGACACTAGTAGTGTACAAAGGTTGTGTGAGTTATCATGTCGATCTTTGAGTAATGACACTAGTAGTGTACATGTGTGTTGTTTGGGACATCATGTCGATCTTTGAGTAATGACACTAGTAGTGTACATGTGTTTTGTTTCGGACATCATGTCGATCTTTGAGTAATGACACTAGTACTGTACATGTGTGTTGTTTGGGACTTCATGTCGATCTTTGAGTAATGACACTAGTAGTGTACATGTGTGTTGTTTGGGACATCATGTCGATATTTAAGTAATGACATTAGTAGTGTACAAAGGTTGTGTGAGTTATCATGTCGATCTTTGAGTAATGACACTAGTAGTGTACATGTGTGTTGTTTGGGACATCATGTCGATCTTTGAGTAATGACACTAGTAGTGTACATGTGTGTTGTTTGGGACATCATGTCGATCTTTGAGTAATGACACTAGTAGTGTACATGTGTGTTGTTTGGGACATCATGTCGATCTTTGAGAAATGACACTAGTAGTGTACATGTGTGTTGTTTGGGATATCATGTCGATCTTTGAGTAATGACACTAGTAGTGTACATGTGTGTTGTTTGGGACATCATGTCGATCTTTGAGTAATGACACTAGTAGTGTACATGTGTGTTGTTTGGGATATCATGTCGATCTTTGAGTAATGACACTAGTAGTGTACATGTGTGTTGTTTGGGACATCATGTCGATCTTTGAGTAATGACACTAGTAGTGTACATGTGTGTTGTTTGGGATATCATGTCGATCTTTGAGTAATGACACTAGTAGTGTACATGTGTGTTGTTTGGGACATCATGTCGATCTTTGAGTAATGACACTAGTAGTGTACATGTGTGTTGTTTGGGATATCATGTCGATCTTTGAGTAATGACACTAGTAGTGTACATGTGTGTTGTTTGGGACATCATGTCGATCTTTGAGTAATGACACTAGTAGTGTACAAAGGTTGTGTGAGTTATCATGTCGATCTTTGAGTAATGACACTAGTAGTGTACATCTGTGTCGTTTGGGACATCATGTCGATCTTTGAGTAATGACACTAGTAGTGTACATGTGTGTTGTTTGGGACATCATGTCGATCTTTGAGTAATGACACTAGTAGTGTACATGTGTGTTGTTTGGGATATCATGTCGATCTTTGAGTAATGACACTAGTAGTGTACATGTGTGTTGTTTGGGACATCATGTCGATCTTTGAGTAATGACACTAGTAGTGTACAAAGGTTGTGTGAGTTATCATGTCGATCTTTGAGTAATGACACTAGTAGTGTACAAAGGTTGTGTGAGTTATCATGTCGATCTTTGAGCAATGACACTAGCAGTGTACATGTGTGTTGTTTGGGACATCATGTCGATCTTTGAGTAATGACACTAGTAGTGTACAAAGGTTGTGTGAGTTATCATGTCGATCTTTGAGTAATGACACTAGTAGTGTACATGTGTGTTGTTTGGGACATCATGTCGATCTTTGAGTGATGACACTACTTCAGTAGTAGTGTACATGTGTGTTGTTTGGGACATCATGTCGATCTTTGAGTAATGACACTAGTAGTGTACATGTGTGTTGTTTGGGATATCATGTCGATCTTTGAGCAATGACACTAGTAGTGTACAAAGGTTGTGTGAGTTATCATGTCGGTCATTGAGTGATTGGGGCGGTCGGGTAGCCCAGTGGCTAAGGCGTTCGCTCGTCACGCCGAAGACCCGGGTCGATTCCCGACATGGGTACAATGTGTGACGCCCATTTCTGGTGTTCCCTGCCATGATATTGCTGGAATATTGCGGCGTAAAACCATACTCACTCACTCACTCATTGAGTGATGACATCTATTCAGATGTCATCGTTGGTGGCAACAAGCAAATTTTGTGGGGGACATCATGTGGATCCGTGTACAAATGCTGACAAAACACATTGTGAAGAGTTGTTAGTTGGGCCAGCTGCCTGGAATAATCCTGATGCGAAGCTTTTTTACACTCTGTTTGACAGAGGCAGACGTTCTGACTCACATACATATTGCATTTGAAATGTAAGGTTCCCTGTTGTCGTCAGTGTCAAACAGAGAAGTTCTGTCTTTATCAATGTACAGGGCTCCCAGCTGAAAATACATCTGCATCCCCAGCTACATCCACAACGACAATTCATGCTAGCTTACACAATCATGCTAATATAATCAACAAACGCTGTGACGTAGCTGGAATATTGCTGACTGCGACGTTAAACAACAATCACTCACTCATTACGTTGCGGTCTGGTTGTTGCCTGTGCGCACGACAGAAGCCGCCAACGAACACCTGCACAAATTTCTGTGCAAAGAATACTTACATGAATACTTCTATAATAATCATCAATGAAATATAAGATGAGTACACATATCTCACCTGTACCAAGAAGAGGAATAGCCAACACTTTCACATCATTCTTCTCTGCTTTCTTCATTATTGTCTTGTATAAGTGTTCCGTTTTCTTCACCCATCTGTTGGTATGGTCAGGGCTTTTGATGACGGCGTGAAAGACATAACTAAATGGCGATGGTTCAGATAGTATCGTGGTGTGAACTGACCACGACTTGAAACGTCTTGCTTTCCCCTTTAGTTCTTCTCTTTTCACAGCAAATTCACTTGAATTTTCTTTCAGAGCCCTTGTGACAAAACTATCATGTTCAAACTCCAGCCCTTCCCCCGTCACAACGCCACTGGCGTCACTTATCGTCGTGATGTCCCCGACGTACGTGACCACCTCCATCTGGTTTGCCATCTTAAATAGTTCCTGAGTGGGTAGTGGACGGGCACCTGCCATCCTCTCCTCTTCTCGAGCCTGCAACTTAAAACCAAGAAGTGTTAAATGTTGGCTGGTTCTGTGCGTTCATTTTATGTACTTTCTTCACAAATGCATCACCACACATGAAATGCAAGTCATGGCCTGATTCCAACCAACTTTAGAACTGCAGGAACGCATCAAATCATATCAAGTCATGTAACTTGATTTAAGGACCTTGCAATTTTATTTTTGGGCCCTTTACCTATTTTGAAATAACTGAAGACAATATCCAGTTCTTCGAATTATTATTCCTTGCAAAAAGGTTTTCAACGAAAGACCATCATAAAATACATAACCTGATTCCACAATGTCATTATTCATAAATATCAACGTGAGATGACCCCGAAATTTATAAATAGAAAATATTTTGACGTGTTATCGTAATTGTTATGTGATTTCAGGAACGTTTGAGTTGAGTGGTAATTTGTGTAAATAGTGTCACGGTAGCGTTAACAGTTTAACATGTCAACAAAGGCAGCTACTCTAATTATTCACGATGTTTCTAAATGTGCAGGAATAAATGTATTAATGTAGAACTTTGTTGCAATACACAATAGTCAACTTTACTTTAAACAAAAGTTTCAATTCTGAGTCTTATCATGCTTGTATCTTCTAAGGAGATCTTTTTTTTCAAAGGTATACATATTTTCCCATTGTTTCACAAATAACACAGTAAAATCCTCAGAGTTTCCTTAATCTGGCCTAGTCCAGGATGTTTACAGAATCAACAGTGTACCTTGATAGAATTTAAAACCATTACTGCACATTTTGACCTAAACTGACTGAGCAGTCGCCATAAAGTGTCGATACGGCCGCCTCGGCTGTTGCTATAAAACTCGGATTCAAACCTCGGGAACAAATTCAGATATTCAGATGTCATCGTTGGGAACAAGCAAATGAAGTTTCAGCTCCAGAGGAACACAGCTTGCTGACGAGATGATGTTTACGGTGTGAGGAAATGCATTTTGAAAGAAATTAAGATCACTGTCCAAAGTGCAAATTTCAAAATGTTGGTGAAATAAGGAACACATATGTTGAGCCCCACCACTACTACAGGTTATATCCCATTAGTTAGACGTCCCATTAGTTAGACGTCCCATCCCATTAGTTAGACGTCCCATTAGTTAGACGTCCCATTAGTTAGACGTCCCAATTGTTAGCTATTTTTCTTTAGGCAAAGAGGGAATATACCTACAGGTGTAATGTATCAGTCCTAATTAGATTAAAGTACTGAGTAGGGATAGGGGACTCACAGCTTAGGGAGTATATATGTTACAATTTCGTTTAATTAACCTAAATTACCTTACTCTCAGCACAGGTTCAATAGGCATGAAATTAACTATGTGAACTATGGAGTAGCTTAATTGTCTAAGTGTATGATCAGTTGAAGGAGTTGAGTTTAGATTATCACATACCGTATTCGACGTAATAAGCGCCCACGGCGTTATGTGCTGATATATGTGCGTTATGTGCTGATATATTGGCTAGTGAACAATCCCAATTAGCACCCCTTCCGATTGATCAGTGTACACAAGACTTATTTATTCGCGCATAATACGCACTCGAGTGTTATATGCATCATTAATTATGGGCATTTAAATTCTTGAAAATATATATGTCGTGTAAAATACGCACAGACTTTTCTTTAGTATCATATAAGGCTGTCAACATAAACCAAAATATTACAGATCTTTCAACTCTGGTTTTTTTTTCTTACCAAAACTATATTCTAATAAGAGTCCCCTTTTTCTAATTTTGCGAGCGCCCTAGGCGCTTATTGCGTCGAATACGGTATACTAAATTTCATTACATTCCAAAACAAAATGTTTCAGTAATGGTCATAAAAAGTTTCAGCTTTCACTATGATTGAAGTGCAAAGGTCAAATAAAGGTCCAAGTTGAAACATCACAAAAAACAATTATCTTGAGTCCCACTACTAACTATACATGTACCAAAGAGCACTACGTATTTAACAAAAATGACAAAGTAATATATAACAATATCTGGACGACGACGGACGTCCCGCGACGACATTACCTCACTTGGCCTGAAAATAGAATAAATAGCCGAATCAACCTGCAGTCACTGGGTGACCCAACATAGCCTTTGTGAATATTAAGGGGAGATAACTCTACCCAAGGCATCTACATAAAACGAAAGCGAAAGTTCATCGATTAGTAATGAGCATGTCAATTGGTCAAATTCAATTAATGTTATACGTTGCATCATCACCGACACCCCTGTAACTTGCACATATTGAATAAATTAATAAATATGGGTGAACAACAAATCACATCACATGATAACACAATCTACGCGTCCGTGCTGAAGGATTATGATATCCATTAGCCTAACACCACTCGATCTACAAACATGGAAATATAGCATCCTGTCTACTTTCTGCTCTCGATATAACTACTGCAGTACCAGTTCACGATCGCCGAGCACAGCCATGTTGTTTACGGACGCGGGGACACCCACTTCCTGGTTCGACTGTTGGCTGTGCTTGACGAGTCCCTCTGGCTGTCTACCATGACCGGCCTACAGGGCACGGGAGACACATATGATAGACACTAACCTACACAGGCTCAAATTACATATAATACGCGCCTGCCATTCCGTATGTACTCACCCTCGATGACCACGACAGGACTGCACAGTCTTGGGCGACTGATTTCAAACCGAAACTAGGAAATTATGTCACGATTCAACGGGTCAAAGTGAACTAGACCCCATAGCTGTGTGTTGTATATGCTATCTAAGCATGTTGCGACAGATAAAGATGTCGTCGGGAGATGATATATAGTCAAGATTACACGCAAAAACACCGACCTTTGAGTTGATTAGAATCATCAATATTGCAAATGCATATAAATTTTAATATATGACAACTTAGGCTACGTATGATTTTCTGCATTGATTAGAATTTACAATGTCTTAAATAGATATAACATTTCATTCACAAATTCAAAATGATAGTTTCATACTCTTTTCATATTTATACAATTTATATTGCAATAGTTACACACAAACATATCAAAATACCATTGATTTATTGGGCATATGATAGCCAGTCGATGAAATGAGAAGTTGATTTAGAAATAGTAAGAGTATATTCTCCAAGGGAACATCGGTATTACCCTGAGTTGAGATCGGTGAGAGGTCTGCCTCGCCCGTCACATTATACCTAATGAAACTAAGTGTCGTCTGCACTGGACTGTCACTGATACGCCGCGTCAAGTGTAGTCGCAAGGGAGGTAACTCCTCCTGGCATAGCATCGCCAGGGCTATCGTGACAAACTCGTACGATTCCGGGACAAACCAATTACGGAAAGTTGCGAGTCATGACGAATGTAGGCCACGATGGCCTGTGTTTGCGGGGCTCAACCACTTTCGGTACGATGGATGCCGATCCCTGAAGGTTTAAGCTTATGAGCACGCATGGTCACGCATTCTATGTGCAATTCCCAGTCTAATTTACTTGTACCAGCTGCGTAGACTAATATGACTCAAGAGTTCTAAAATTGGATGCGTAAAGATCCTGGGTAGAATAAGACTTCACCAACCCATGCTTGCCGTAAAAGGCGACTATGCTTGTCATAAAAGGCGACTAACGGGATCGGGTGGTCAGGCTTGCTGACTTGGTTGATGCACGTCATCGTATACCAATTGCATGGATCGATGTTCATGATGAGAATCACTGGATTGTCTGGTCCAGACTCGATTATTTACAAACCGTTGTCATATAGCTGGAATATTGTTGAGTGCGGCGTTAAACAACATAAAACAAACAACATAAATTGGATGCCAGGACGGTGGGGGTTTGCATTCTCTGTTTGGAAATGTACGGATTCCCCTGGCTGGTCGAACCACCTCTTCCCCTTACCTATACGTGGCTATCATCTGACCAAGAACAAAGTTGTAACACATACAGCATATTTGTAAACAGTGGCCATTTCGTGCGTTTCGGCAATTATAATTCTCGTTTCTCCGACAGAAGTTTATATGGGATGATTAAAGGTGAAGTGTGTTCCTCTATATTAGCTATGATGTATTAACAAGAGCGACAGTATTTGAAGAATGATTGTGTTTGTTGTTGTTGTGTTTGTGTGGTTTTTTTAAACGCTGCACTTAGCAGTATTCTAGCTATTTGACGGCGGTCTGTCAATAATCGAGTCTGGACCAGACAATCCAGTGATTGACATCATGAGCATCGATCCACGCAATTGGGATACGATGACATGCATCAACAAAGTCAGCGAGCCTGACCACCCGATCCCGTTAGTCGCCTCTTACGACAAGCATAGTCGCCTTTTACGGCAAGCATGGATTGCTAAAGACCTATTCTACCCCGGATCTTCACGGGTACTTTGAAGAATGAGATAGGGTATAACACTATATATATCTTTTCATTTCAACACATATTTGACATAAATTAAATACGTCATTCAGATGTGTATTTTCGAATTGAAACATAGACCAGATATCTTGGTAAGATAAGAATCCATGGTTATGAAAGCAACTAACTACACTGGTTTATAGTTGGCCGTCTTTGATCCTACGCCGCCTTGACAAATAAGGGAAGTAACTCCTCCTTGCATAGCTTTCGTCAGAGAATCCTGGCTGTGGTTCATGTTTCAGTTCATGATGCGGCTCTGTTGTGTTTACATTTACTTATTCAATGTAAGTAACAGGATGTTTGAACTGTACAAAAGACTCGAGTAGACATATTTATATGTTGCATTGCTATCCTCCAGTACATGCGCAATGTAATATGATTTGTTTGTTCGTTTCTTGTTTAACGACGTACTCCAGCTATATGACGGCGGTTCGTAAATAATCGAGTCTGGACCAGACAACCCAGTGATTGACATCATGAGCATCGGTCCACGCAATTGGTATACGATGACGTGCACCAACCTAGTCAGCAAGCCTGACCACCCGATCCCGTTAGTCGCCTCTTACGACAAGCATAGTCGCCTTTTACGGCATGCATGGATTGCAGACTTATTCTACCCCGGTTCTTCACTGGTCGCAATGTGAAATGAATATAATATAAAAAAACTGATGTGTCGCTGTAGTTTATGAATCTTACATTAATAGTTGAAGATGTTTCCAAATACATGTGGAAGACAGGATGTGAGCACGAGTAACAATCTGCCACCAAAGTACAGCGATATCACGGCGTGTCAGGGTCATAAGGAGGAAAGCCCATCATTACGGAGGTCGTAAACTATTACGACTGTGGTAAACCCACGTGTACGCAATCAGGGTGAAACTAAGCTTTGAACTCACGACCAGTGAATCCTGGCACTTAATTATAAGGGACACAACTCTGTATGTGGAATGGCAGCACCGAACTCACTGGGCCATCTTCCCGAGGCAAGAGAGTTGACTGACTAAAAAATTCCAGTTTCCACTCTTGTCGAACAAGGCTGGGATTATGGAGTTATAATTTGGCTGGGCTAAAGAGTCTATGTATAGTCCAATCAAAATCGCGTAACGAAATCAACACCCGGTTCGTATAATACTGCCGTGCAGATTCCGGTCGATTGCAGGATTTGCAAAGTATGTGTACCGTAAACTTAGCGTCAACACATATTTTTAAAATCCTTTCATGCTTTTAATCAAGGTTTCTCACGTGATTTGATGCGCTCCGCGAAGTAAGACCCGTTTTATTACAATAAAAATCTTGATACTGGACCATATGGTCTTCACTGGGCGCCTCCATTTGTTTGAAGCGAATGCAGGTGATATCAGAGGTGGAATTTGAATGGTAAATAGGATGGACATAGAAGGGACATAACTCGTAAAGGCCATGGGTTGCGCTACGTTCGAACCCTGAAATGCCAGCCTAGTTCCGCAAGGGTAGAAACTGGACTTTTACAGTCAGTTAACTCCCTTGCCTCGGGAAGATGCCACAGGTCTAGCCGACACCTTGTCGCTGCTCGGTTATACCAATACAATATTACGTTTTTATTACACCCTAACAAAATTAATCATGATACCAATTTTTAATATATATTTATTATTTCTTTGTACATACACATATATACGTAAATGAATGCTTGCCCTACACAATATGCGGTGAAAACACTTCTGGTGAAAATGCAAGACGTTTCACAGCCAGGTTACAAACCTAATGATAAAGTCTACAAGTCGCCAGCGTCCTGAATAAGTGAATGTTGACACCTTCAATCGCAGTCTCCAGCGGCACGGTGTGATCAGACGGGACCTCTACCCAAAACACATAGTCCTCCAGGACGCGCCTACCGTTCAGCTATGGCCTTTGCAGTTCTTCTCTTAACATGGTTTTTGCCTAACCCAACCATGACATAGTGACACGGCCAACGTGACAACCAGTCTCGGTTTAGCATCAGAAGATCAAGAGGAAATGCAGTGTTATTTCTAAAAAGGGTATATAATGGTGTAGCGAGTATTACAACTGAACACATTTCTCCCCATGAAGATCGGAGTTAGAACTGATCTTCAGCAACCCACGCTTGTCGTAAGGGGAGAGAGGGTTCGCTGAGCTCGTTGATATATCTCATTGTATCCCAATTGAATAGGTTGATGATCATGTCAATTATTAGATTGTCTGGTCCAGACACGATTATTTACAGACTGTCGTCATAGAGCTGGAATATTGCTGAGTTCGGCGCCTGCACCAAACAAACATTTCTCCGTGTTATGCAACCATGGCGACGTCATGGTGCCCAGCCTCCGGCAGGTGATCTCGTACAGCTTGTCCTGGTGGCCGCTTGTGATGCCCATAACTACAACACGCTTGTGTTGTCAGGGCCTGTCGCCCGCCCCTGTCCCTACCTCCAGGTCTTCCACGTTCCTGCTGGAATATACAACACTGTCTGCTACATTCTGCACGGTCACCGTAGTATTCATTGCATGTCATCGCCTTCTTGTTGTCATCTTTACCGTCAGGGTGGACTCTGTTGTCCCCAGGGAACAAGTTGGAAGAACCAGTTGTCCCGTTCTCAGTGACTCCTTTCCTGGCCAGTTCCTCCCTCACCTGGACTAGATACGTTGGATCCGGGTAACTCCACCTGAATAGAAACAAAATGTACTGAGTTAGTAATGAGTAAGTGAGTGAGTTGGGTTTAACGCCGCTTTTAACAGTAGTCCAGTCATATCACGGCGTGTCAGCTTAATGTAGGAGGAAAGCCCTAAGTGATGCAGGTCTCAGACGTTTACCACTTCGGTGCTGACAAACCTTGAAACATAATCGGGGCGAACCGGGATTCGAACCCACAATCATGGGTTTCTGGCATGCCCAAGGGACGCAACTCTGCACAGCGAATCGCGGCGCCTTAGACGACTGGGCCACCCGTGCCCCCCTGAGTGAGTGAGTGAGTGAGTGAGTGAGTGAGTGAGTGAGTGAGTGGGTGGGTGGGTGATTGGATGGGTGGGTGGGTGAGTGAGTGAGTCTGTGGGTGGGTGGTTGGGTGGGTGGTTGTTGAGTGAGTGAGTGAGTGAGTGAGTGAGAGAGATAGTGAGTGAGTGAGTGAGTGAGTGAGTGAGTGAGTGAGTGAGTGAGTTGGGTTGGGTTGGGTTGGGTTGGGTGGGTTGGTAAGTGTGTGAGTGGGTGGGTGGGTGGGTGGGTGAGTGAGTAAAGTTTAGCGCCACTTTGTTTTTTATGTGAGTTATATCAGCTTAATGAAGAACGTGAAGCACTGTGTGAAACATGTCTTAACATTGTTAACAACTTCAGTAAAACCCGCGATCACACGTTTAGGACTGACAAACCAAGAATCATAAGCAGGGAGAATCTGGGGTTCAAACCCACCATCATTGGATCTTTGCACGCATAAGGGACGCAACCTTGCACGGCGTATTGTGGTGCCGTAGGTCACGGGGCTTCTAGTGTACAGTACATTTACCAAACACGGTATCTTTTGATTCTACTCGCCTAATTAGTGTACAGTGATTCTACAAGCCTTACCAGTGTTCAGGAATTCTACTCGCCTTACCAATATCCAGTGGTTCTACTCGCCTAATTAGTGTACATTGATTCTACTCACCTAATTAGTGTACAGTGATTCTACAAGCCTTACCAGTGTTCAGGAATTCTACTCGCCTTACCAATATCCAGTGGTTCTACTCGCCTAATTAGTGTACATTGATTCTACTCACCTAATTAGTGTACAGTGATTTGTAGCTACAAGCCTTACCAGTGTTCAGGAATTCTACTCGCCTAACTAGTGTACATTGATTCTACTCGCCCTACCAGCATACAGTGATTCTACTCACCTTATCAGTGTTCAGGAATTCTACTCGCCTAACTAGTGTACATTGATTCTACTCGCTCTACCAGCATACAGTGATTCTACTCACCTTATCAGTGTTCAGGAATTCTACTCGCCTAACTAGTGTACATTGATTCTACTCGCCCTACCAGCATACAGTGATTCTACTCACCTTATCAGTGTCCAGGGATTCTACTCGGCGTACCTATATCAAGTGATTCTACACGCCTTACAAATATCTTGTAATTATACTCGCCTTACCGGTGTACAGTTATTCTACTCGCCTTAGCAGTATCTCGTGATTCTACTCGCGTTACCTGTATCCAGTGATTATGCTCGACTAGCCAAAACGAAGTGATTATACTCGCCTTTAGAATTCAGTGATTCTACTCGCGTTACCTGTATCCAGTGATTATGCTCGACTAGCCAAAATGAAGTGATTGTACTCGCCTTTAGAATTCAGTGATTCTACTCCCCTAACCAGTATCCATTGATTCGAGTTGTTAGTTTTCAGAACTTGCAAACAAGAAACTTCAATAAAAAATACATGATATGTTTTTCTAATGTTCACAGCGACTGCTTTGTTACTGGTGATTAGGGGCGGTCAGGTAGCCTAGTGGTTAAAGCGTTCGCTCGTCACGCCGAAGACCCGGGCTCGATTCCCGACATGGGTACAATGTGGGAAGCCCATTTCTGCTGTCCCCCGCCGTGATATTGCTGGAATATTTCGGCGTAAAACCGTACTCACTCACTACTGGTGATTAGTTTTGGAAACATAGGCGGATGCAGAGGGGGTCCATCGGGTCCAGGGGGCCAGAACCCCGGGGTATTTTGAAGGCAGTGACATTGGCTGAGAGAAGATTTTGATATTTTGGACCCCTCCCTTTAAAAAAATGCTGAATCCACCTTTGGGAAACAATGGTTCAGAGTGCTGGTGTACCGGACTGTGTGTACCTGCTAGTTCCTGCTACCGCCAGTGTCTTATGGCTAACACCGTTCCACGTCACGACATTCTCTTCACTGGTGGTTGTAGAACGACCAATGGTAAATGTCAGCTTCCTGTCAAATGCAGTCCTCAAGAGCTGGAGAACACCTCTACCTTCCCTACAGTCCGGCAGATAGGCTACACGTGTGGTGCCCTTGTACTGGTCTCCCGGGCTGGGGTGGTCTCTCTGGCAACAGGGGGTACATACGAATATTTAGTGTACAGACAACTCGAATTATTCAGTATACTGTGTAAGATACCCCATGCTGTGTTGGGGATCAATTGGGAAGGGTTCCCTGTGTTGTTCCGCCAGGAGGTCGTGATGGAGATGTGATACACAGCACAATGTTGATGAACACTCTCCGCTGCCTACCTTTGGGACGTAATAATTACCCTTGCACTCTGTAACTGTAAAAGGCAAAACTCGTAAGAGAATACCAGCGATATGCTTCCTTAAATGTTAACGATTTAAAACCAAGATCTACTCGTCGAATTACCGCAATGTGTGTAACTGATATAGTATCTTTTGGTATTGAAGGGTAATCAACTCTATACTGAATTGCATCACAGCATTTGAGTCAGAAGACAAACACATATGTGCTTAGGGGCATGACACAAATTTGCTAGCACTGACAATTACCCAAAGTTAAGCTCCTTTTTAACACAATTGACAGTTGTCTTGTTTCCTGAATTATTGATGCATATCAACATATACATTTTAGCATCAATGATTACTTCATATTCGATATTTGGACCATAAACAACACGTATTCTTCCTTTCAATAGGGTAGTATAACAATACCCGTATGATCCACTGTAGCCTGCGAGAACATAATATTAACAATACAAAGTTACAGGTTTTATCCAACTCATGAAACCACAGGCGGCATATACTCCCCGGAGTCCCAGGAGGGTTGCCACATGTCTCATACGACGGACCCGTACATTCTGTACCCATCATGCATCACGCATCACTATGGCGCCGTGGGTGGTCCCATGCTGCCACCTAGCGGGCGTCTGTGCAGGTGGTGTACTCACCCCTTGTGTTCCATCGGGGAACTTGTATATGATGATAATGGTCCCATGTAAGTCATGCCCCGGCAGGCTGGTCTGACTCAGGGCTACATTCATACTTCCATCTGGCTGAGTCCCAGATGCTGGTCTCGCTAGGGGCTTTTCATGACGAGCTCCCATCGTTGACAAGGTCTCGAAGCTACAAAATATGTTAAAAGACTCGTTTGTGTTCTGCTACGCAGTGAACGCAGGTTCAAATGTCAGTGTGCACTTTTGTTAAATTATATTGAAATCAGAATTTGTTGAAACCCCACTACCTTTATTAACTAAAACATAGCCTTCCAAAACGTGAGATTGACCTTTGGTAGGTTGTCTCATTTTTGGTGTCTTAAGCATTTTCAGGGCGGTGGGGTAGCCTAGTGGTTAAAGTGTTTGCTCGTCACGCCGAAGACCCGGGTTCGATTCTCCACATGGGTACAATATGTGAAGCCTATTTCTGGTGTCCCCCGCTGTGATATTGCTGGAATATTGCTAAAAGCGGCGTAAAACAATACTCATTCATAAGCAACGTGTTTGTCTGGCTTGACTTTAACTAAAATGCCTAAACTTAAGCCTGACAATAAAAATGTTTGATGATGCAGTAATCAAAGTTTGTAGTGAGCATCTGAACTTAGTACTTAGTGAAAGGCCACACTCAGTTAAACAACGACAGTTGATTTTAAAATGACGTAAATTAAATTATTCTTTATGTGTTCATGTACACTTCAAATTCTTATACGAAAATAGGAAGATAAAATACCACTATGCCCACATTTCATTCCTCGTAACATAGTGTCTATACGTGGTTGAGATAATATTCTGTTAGTTTTGATCGGATATCAGTTAGGTCTCACAAAGTCTAACACAGCCGACAGACACAGCACCAAAAGAGGTGGTTTCTGTCCACTTGATACCTGTCGGACAACATCAGATACTTACTTACCGGAAAAGCATGCGGCCACGCTCCCTTCCTGGTGTGACAGGTGCTTTATCAGCTCTCACTGAACATACGGCAGGAGTCGAGTATATATCAGCTGATGCCCACTCTGATGCCACCAGCTGTGCAGTTACCACCCGTCTCCAACCCCTCCCCTTCAGGGCTGCTGACGTGTGTTTATCGTAGTCATGAGGCTACTCACATGTATAGCAGTTAATCCACGCATGCTCCGACCAGGCAACCATCATCAAGGTTTAGTACTTTTCCAGCTACAGATACTGTTTTTAATTGAAACTTTGAGGCTAAATATTATTTTCATTTCGGGAACATAGGTCATAGGTCACACAATTCCAGCAATGATATGGTATTGTTTGTTCATTGTTTAACGCCACACTCAGCAATATTCCAGCTATATGACGGCGACCTGTAAACAATTGAGTTTGTACCAGACAATCCAGTGATTGACATCATGATCATCGATGCACGCAATTGGGATCGATGCATGACGTCATGCATCAACTAAGTCAGCGAGCCTGACCACCCGATCCCGTTTGTCGCCCTTTACGGCAAGCATGGGTGTCTAGCTGAAGACCTATTCTAACCCGGATCTTCACGGGTCGGTATGGTAGGTATGGTATGGTATGGTATGCTATGGTATGGTATGGTATGGTATGCTATGGTATGGTATGCTACGGTATGGTATGCTACGGTATGGTATGCTATGGTATGGTATGGTATGCTACGGTATGCTATGGTATGGTATGGTATGGTATGGTATGCTACGGTATGGTATGCTATGGTATGCTATGAGTTTTAGGACGACTTGGACCATTAAAGGTCTATTTGCGCCCAACACATAAAAGTGCTTTAAACAAGAGAGAAGCGACAAATGAAAATGTGGGGATTAACCAATCTACGTTACGGTAAAATGTATTATTAAAAGCCGCAAGTAAACACTATTTCCTTTCTGAAAAGTAGTTTCGCATTCTACATACAAGCCATTGGCAGTCTGAAGTGGTCCTTCTCCCAAACAGACCCGGATCATGAAGCAAAGTTGCGCCTAAGCGCCTAATGTTAAATCTATTTTGACAGATTGGTTTCAAAGTCCTCGCTATCCTCAACCTGAAATATTCATGCTTACGTAATAGCATTGATCTGTGAACAGTGGATCGATTTCTGTGTGCTTATGGGACACGTACTTCTCAAGTAAGGGACCTTTGTTGTTATATAAAGTCAATATATCACTGTCATGCTACTGATATGGACTCGCGTCTTGACAGCTGCCTTTCCCCATTGGACATTGGTTAAAGCAACCCACAACTTAACATTGATGTAAACGAAATACATTCGCATCACATACACAACTGTTTAATGACAGGAGTGGCACAACATTAGCCAGGCGTTTAATGACATTTATGACGTACGAAACGAGTGGAGTGGCACAACATTGGCCAGGCGTTTAATGACATTTATGACGTACGAAACGAGTGGAGTGGCACAACATTGGCCAGGCGTTTAACGACATTTATGACGTACGAAACGAGTGGAGTGGCACAACATTGGCCAGGCGTTTAATGACATTTATGACGTACGAAACGAGTGAGGGGCACAACATTGGCCAGGCGTTAAATGACATTTATGACGTACGAAACGAGTGAGTGGCACAACATTGGCCAGGCGTTTAATGACATTTATGACGTACGAAACGAGTGAGGGGCACAACATTGACCAGGCGTTTAATGACATTTATGACGTACGAAACGAGTGGAGTGGCACAACATTGGCCAGGCGTTTAATGACATTTATGACGTACGAAACGAGTGGAGTGGCACAACATTGGCCAGGCGTTTAATGACATTTATGACGTACGAAACGAGTGGAGTGGCACAACATTGGCCAGGCGTTTAATGACATTTATGACGTACGAAACGAGTGAGGGGCACAACATTGGCCAGGCGTTTAATGGCATTTATGACGTACGAAACGAGTGGAGTGGCACAACATTGGCCAGGCGTTTAACGCCATTTATGACGTACGAAACGAGTGGAGTGGCACAACATTGGCCAGGCGTTTAATGACATTTATGACGTACGAAACGAGTGGAGTGGCACAACATTGGCCAGGCGTTTAATGACATTTATGACGTACGAAACGAGTTGAGTGGCACAACATTGGCCAGGCGTTTAATGACATTTATGACGTACGAAACGAGTGGAGTGGCACAACATTGGCCAGGCGTTTAATGCCATTTATGACGTACGAAACGAGTGGAGTGGCACAACATTGGCCAGGCGTTTAACGACATTTATGACGTACGAAACGAGTGGAGTGGCACAACATTGGCCAGGCGTTTAATGACATTTATGACGTACGAAACGAGTGAGGGGCACAACATTGGCCAGGCGTTTAATGGCATTCATGACGTACGAAACGAGTGGAGTGGCACAACATTGGCCAGGCGTTTAACGACATTTATGACGTACGAAACGAGTGGAGTGGCACAACATTGGCCAGGCGTTTAATAACATTTATGACGTACGAAACGAGTGGAGTGGCACAACATTGGCCAGGCGTTTAATGACATTTATGACGTACGAAACGAGTGGAGTGGCACAACATTGGCCAGGCGTTTAACGACATTTATGACGTACGAAACGAGTGGAGTGGCACAACATTGGCCAGGCGTTTAATGACATTTATGACGTACGAAACGAGTGAGGGGCACAACATTGGCCAGGCGTTTAATGACATTTATGACGTACGAAACGAGTGAGGGGCACAACATTGGCCAGGCGTTTAATGGCATTTATGACGTACGAAACGAGTGGAGTGGCACAACATTGGCCAGGCGTTTAATGGCATTTATGACGTACGAAACGAGTGGAGTGGCACAACATTGGCCAGGCGTTTAATGACATTTATGACGTACGAAACGAGTGGAGTGGCACAACTTTGGCCTGGCGTGTGTGTGCGTTTTTCATCACCATGCTTGCGCTCGTGGGTGACCTGCATCACTTCGGGTTTTCCTCCCACATCAAATTGACACACCGTAACATAACTGAAATCGGGTTCAAAGTTACGTTTAACTCAGCCGTTGCCGTTACTGTGGTTTTTTACTGACAAGATAGTATTTAAAGTTTCAAAAAACTTTGAAAAAAAATTTTTTTCACTATACAAAAGGAATATAAAATAAGTTTAATAAATGAATAAATAACATTCATGGTACCATACACAAGTATATGAAATACATTCTCTCACTGAATAAAGAATCATGGTGTTGAATTGCTGAGTGCGGCATTAAACAACAAAACAACAACAACAACAACATGGTGTTAATGTCTCATTCATCCAAGCAATTCGGGTTGCAATCTACATCTGGGCGACTGGAGCAAATTACATCCGGCTGAGGGTGTTAAATAAACACCGTGAAACACCAATAACATTCTCACATTCTTCAACAGTTGCTAGAAGGATGACTTTGTGAATGTGTTTGTTTGTTTGTTTGCTTGTTGTTTAACACCGCACTCGGCAATATTCCAGCGGTCTGTAAATAATCGAGCCTGGACCAGACAATCCAGTGATTTACATCATGAGCATCGATCCACGCAATTGGGATCGACGACTTGCATCAAGCAAGTCAGCGAGCCTGGCCACCCTGACCACCAAAACTGTGATATAATCCTGTTATCGACGATACCCTATTTTCACATCACATCATAGTTCCAGGCAGATAGACTGGCATCGCGATAACGTCCAGTGTCAGAGATGGTGTTCGTAATGAAAGGAAATTCCTTCGTGGAAATTGTAAGTACGGCATATTAGAAGTTCTGATATCTAGTCAAAACATTTCATTTCTCACATGAGATTCCTCAAATAATAAATCCCCATCGCCAAAAGTTTTTACAAGAATGGGTGTACATCAAACGTACACCTCATCATTCTGCACGATCGTTCAGACAACCCGCTGCATCCTCCTTGAAGTCCCCGCATGTCTCAATCCGGCACTGGACGCTCGTCTTAAAACAATATGTAATTGCTGTTTTGTTCATTAGTTTCATTAATCATCGTCGCCATTATCCTCGTCATTGTCATCGTCATTATCATCGTGGTCGTCGCCATCGTCGCCATCGTCATCATTGCTTGCACTTTGAACTTGCCTTAGTGGTATGTCGTTTAGCACGACATAAGGGTCCTTACTGTGATGATTATTATTTATTTGTGAAGAAGGGACTGAATACAAATTCACACTGGGATCCCGTTATTTCAGCGATGGATGTTTCCACAGTTACAAGAAACACCTTCTGCAGACACTTGGGTTTATAGTGAGCAATGGCTTCCACGGCGGCCTGCGCAGCTTCCTGGGGCTTCGCACCACCACGACCTGGAAACATTACCAGACAATAGACATTGCTTTAAAACTGAAGCTTCAAGACAGGATTGTCAGCATTACAGACGGACCCACATGTCAACACTAACATATACACCGCTAGTGTCATTACGCACATGACGACGTGATGTCCCTCACAACATGTATACAGCACTATAGTCTTAACGCACAGATCGACATGATGTCCCACATTCAACATTTATCCAGCACTAGTGTTATTACTCACGATTTGGCATGATGTCCCACACAGCATAACCATTAAACCACACTGGTGTCTTTATAACAGATGCACATGATGTTACACACAGCATAACTATTAAACCACACTGGTGTCTTTATAAACAGATGCACATGATGTTACACACAGCATAACTATTAAACCACACTGGTGTCTTTATAAACAGATGCACATAATGTTACACACAGCATAACTATCAAACCACACTGGTGTCTCTATAAACAGATGCACATAATGTTACACACAGCATAACTATTAAACCACACTGGTGTCTTTATAAACAGATGCACATGATGTCCCACACAGCATAACTATTAAACCACACTGGTGTCTCTATAAACAGATGCACATGATGTTACACACAGCACTACTATTAAACCACACTGGTGTCTTTATAAACAGATGCACAGGATGTTACACACAGCATAACTATTTAACCACACTGGTGTCTTTATAAACAGACGCACATGATTTTACACACAGCATAACTATTAAACCACACTGGTGTCTCTATAAACAGATGCACATGATTTTACACACAGCATAACTATTAAACCACACTGGTGTCTCTATAAACAGATGCACATAATGTTACACACAGCATAACTATTAAACCACACTGGTGTCTTTATAAGCAGATGCACATGATGTTACACACAGCATAACTATTAAACCACAATATTGTCTTATAAACAGATGTACATGATGTTACACACAGCATAACTATTTAACCACACTGGTGTCTTTATAAACAGATGCACATGATGTTACAAACAGCATAACTATTAAACCACACTGGTGTCTTTATAAACAGATGCACATGATTTTACACACAGCATAACTATTAAACCACACTGGTGTCTTTATGAACAGATGCACATGATGTTACAAACAGCATAACTATTAAACCACACTGGTGTCTTTATAAACAGATTCACAGGATGTTCCAAACAGCATAACTATTTAACCACACTGGTGTCTTTATGAACAGATGCACATGATGTTACACACAGCATAACTATTAAACCACACTGGTGTCTTTATAAACAGATGCACAGGATGTTCCAAACAGCATAACTATTAAACCACACTGGTGTCTTTATGAACAGATGCACATGATGTTACACACAGCATAACTATTTAACCACACTGGTGTCTTTATAAACACATCAACATAATGTTACACACAGCATAACTATTAAACCACACTGGTGTCTTTATAAACAGATGCACATGATGTTCCACACAGCATAACTATTAAACCACACTGGTGTCTTTATAAACAGATGCACATGATGTTACACACAGCATAACTATTTAACCACACTGGTGTCTTTATAAACAGATGCACATGATGTTCCACACAGCATAACTATTTAACCACACTGGTGTCTTTATAAACAGATGCACATGATGTTCCACACAGCATAACTATTAAACCACACTGGTGTCTTTATGAACAGATGCACATGATGTTACACACAGCATAACTATTAAACCGCAATATTGTCTTATAAACAGATGTACATGATGTTCCAAACAGCATAACTATTAAACCACACTGGTGTCTTTATGAACAGATGCACAGGATGTTCCAAACAGCATAACTATTAAACCACACCGGTGTCTTTATAAACAGATGCACAGGATGTTCCAAACAGCATAACTATTAAACCACACTGGTGTCTTTATAAACAGATGCACAGGATGTTCCACACAGCATAACTATTAAACCACACTGGTGTCTTTATGAACAGATGCACAGGATGTTCCACACAGCATAACTATTAAACCACACTGGTGTCTTTATAAACAGATGCACATGATGTTACAAACGGCATAACTATTTAACCACACTGGTGTCTTTATAAACAGATGCTCATGATGTTACACACAGCATAACTATTAAACCACACTGGTGTCTTTATAAACAGATGCACATGATGTTACACACAGCATAACTATTTAACCACACTGGTGTCTTTATAAACAGATGCACATGATGTTCCACACAGCATAACTATTAAACCACACTGGTGTCTTTATAAACAGATGCACAGAATGTTCAAACAGCATAACTATTTAACCACACTGGTGTCTTTATAAACAGATGCTCATGATGTTACACACAGCATAACTATTAAACCACACTGGTGTCTTTATAAACAGATACACATTGAGTTCCACACAGCATAACCATTTATCCACACTGGTGTCTTTATAAACAGATGCACATGATGTTCCAAACAGCATAACTATTAAACCACACTGGTGTCTTTATAAACAGATGCACATGATGTCCCACACAGCATAACTATTAAACCACAATAGTGTCTTTATAAACAGATGCACATGATGTCCCACACAGCATAACTATCAAACCACACTTGTGTCTTTATAAACAGATGCCAAAAGAAACTTTACCATAGTTTGAAATCACCCTCGTTTAAAAATCACCAAAAATAATGCATGAAGTAAAATGTATTGAAAAGATCAAAATTTCAACGAAATCAACATTTAAAATGTCATACTGTATCCGATATAGCGTTTCAACGTAATGGACAAAGGGCACACATTGTCACTAAAATCGCTCAAGTTCAATGAGTGAGTGAGTGAGTTGGGTTTAACGCCGGTTTTAACATTATTACAGTTATATCACAGTGTGTCGGCTTAATGTGGGAGGAAAGACCTAAGTGATGCAGGTCTAAGACGTTTACCACTTCGGTGAAACCCACGAGCACTGGTATGGTGCTAACAAACCTTAAAACATAATCAGGGCGAACCGGGATTCGAACCCACAATCATAGGTTTCTGGCGTGCCCGAGGGACGCAACTCTGCACAGCGAATCGTGCGCCTTAGACGACTGGGCCACCCGTGCCCCGTTGATGACAGGTTGCATTAATAGCGTGTATTACCACCACCCCTGCTAAAAGTCACGCAAAAACTCTCCTCGCACAGAAAAACTCAGTCGTCTGACGACGTTACGTTGGATACGACGCCATTCTTCTTGGAGGGCCTGGATCAGTTCTTGGCGGTTGGCTGGAAGATGTAATAGTGTCGAACACGATGATCCATGACATCTCAGAGGTGTTCTATTGACCTTTTTCACACTTCGCTACTTCCAATTTGAAAGCGAGGCTTGGAGAGCAGAAGGTGAAGGCTGGATAGCACATGAAACACATGGAGACACGCAATTGGGACAAACTGTGACAATTTAACCATCCCGGTACATTTATCATAAGTATTGAACATTATTCTTATTCTTATCATTGACAAACTATATATTCTACTGTTATCTGGTCTCCTTACCGATATAAATTTGAGACTGGCCGTTCTGTTGTGATTTCAATTTAAAATATCCATGGCCACCTGGTAACTCCCAGTGCAGTTTATGGTAGCTGAACAGACTTAATATAAATGCTACTGAGATCTTGTAAAGAATACTTCATTGTTTACACACCATTAAGCCAAACTATTTATTGTTAGTTTAAATAACTTTGCGGATTGTGTTTGAAGTCGAAATATTGACCTTTTGACCATATCTAGATATATGTAAGAAAATAACTAAATTGATATGTTGATATAATGTATCAAATTATAACCTACTGAGAATTTACAGTCGTAACAAATTAGAATTTTACATCAGTTGCGTATTTGATGTAAATTGTAATGGACTCAAATGCATTCCAATTAAAATATTAGACCTCTAGATCTACGTGTGCTGTTGTGATTGTGAACAGTTGTTATTTTGATTGTCAATATTGACAGATTAGATAGCATGAGGTGTAATATTTCAAATGAATTATTACATAAAGGGTGTGTAAATATTTGAAGTAAAGTAAAGTTTGATCTGCAATTTTGTAAACAATATTTCTACCAAAATGATATTTACTTTACTGTACCAAATTAATCATATCATGAAATGAACAAAAACCCAACTAATTAATGGCCAGCAAATGTTCAATCTAAATGTGATCTTTATATAATTTACAGAAACAGATAACTCTTTAACAGTCTGTATTCAAATATTTCAAATGCATAAATTGATATTGACATTACTATAAACTTAAAGTATAAACAGAATTATTTTTAATTCCCATGCGTATTGCAATCATAACTCACTTATTCCCTTTGTTTAATTGTGAAACCCATCTGGTTTTATGTCCACAAACATGTTTTGAAACTTTTCAAACAAAATAATTTCTTTTGTGCAAGCAATTGCCATGTATTATTGATTATTAATCATATCAATTTATATGTAAGAAGATAGTTGTGCTTACTGTGTCATTTTGCAATAATTATACTCGGACCCCATGGTACCGCGGCATTCATCGTATCGCGGCATTTGTGATTTCCGGTAGTTCACGAGGGACACGCCTCTTAGCAGCTGTCTTTTAATGCTAATCAGTAACCAGGAAGTGCACACTTCGTAAACAGTTTCAATTTCCTCGGAATGTTCCGTCTGCTGTAAGTAAGGAGTTATTAATGCGTTGATACATATTTCTGGCATCTTTTGTAATATTGCCTTACCCCCATCTACAATGGCCAACGATATAACCCGCAATTCCCCAAGTAAACTTTCTCTATCGACCTGAACTACATCATCTGCATATTCATGGCGACTAAAAAGGTAACGGAAGTTACGTAGTCCGCACATTTTCTCCCGCTCTGTGTCCAGAATCTATTGGGAGATCATAAGGGCCATAATGCCAAACTTAGAAATACGTTCTTCACTAGTAGCCAAAGATAAATACA